TTAATTTTAGAAAAAAAGATAACCCTAGTCTTTTTTTGCCTTCCATCTCTCTTTTTTTTGTCTCAAAAATTTTATTATAAAAAGGAACAAGGACATTTATACATTATGCCTTCCATCTCTTGCACACCTCTTAATCCTGGCAGGGAGCAACCGTATCCATGACTACACTGTGAGTTAGGAATCTATGCTCTCCCCAGCTAAGTTGTATCCTTCCTCCCTCAGATCTGCGGGAAACCTCTGGATCTGAGCAACCTGTCCCTAGAAGGCATTGCAGTGCTAAACATACCGAGCATGCATGGAGGATCCAACCTCTGGGGTGATACCAAGCGACCCCACGGGGACACCTTTGGGATCAACCAGGCTTTAGGCAATACAGCTAAACTCATCACAGACCCAGATATCCTGAAAACCTGTGTGCCAGGTGAGAGAAGCACCCTTGGTATTTATAGTTGGCAGGTTTGAGGGGAAGCTGTGACTTCTGCATGAGAATCCTGTTTCTATAAAGCCTCTTCTGTCTATTTCTTACTCCCAGACCTAAGTGACAAGCGGCTGGAGGTAGTAGGACTAGAGGGTGCGATTGAGATGGGCCAGATCTATACCAAGCTCAAGAGTGCAGGACATCGGCTGGCCAAGTGCTCTGAGATCACATTCCAGTAAGAAAGACTCCAGCCAGGGTTCCTGAGAGGAGGGGAGGGATGGGGCTCATGGGAATGGTGGACGGGCACTCTACTAGATCTTTCTCAGTAACCTGAGAGAGCAGAGTTTTGGTATTTGCTTGGTAAGAAAATCTTTACCAATCTTTCTTAACCTCCCACAGGACCAGAAAAACTCTACCCATGCAAGTTGATGGGGAGCCCTGGATACAGACACCCTGTACAGTGAGTATCACCTGTGCCTGGAGAGGTTGGACCCTTAGGTGCCATGGAACCCAAATCTTCATGCTATGGATTCTTCCTCCAGATGCCCTAGGTGCCCTGGCTTCTCCAGTACCCCATATCCCTAATGTCCCAGCCACAAGGCACCGCCTGCAAATGTGTTCCCTTCCCTTCCAGATCAAGATCACCCACAAGAACCAGATGCCCATGCTCATGGGCCCACCCCCTCGCTCCTACAGTTTCTTTGGCTTTTGGGGATGAGGACACCTCAGTCTTGAGCCCACCTTCCTGGAAATCTCTTCTAGACTCTGTACATTGCTGCCACACCCTCCTGCCAGCTCATAGGGGTGTCCCTTCACCTTCACAATATTTATTATCCTTTACCACCTCATTACTCCCAGGCACACATACATACACAGCTACCAACACATATGTTAAAAGTGCCTCATCTAATAAAATGGGATATCTGTTAAATGAATGAATGACACATCTTTTTATACCTTAAAAAGACAAAGATTTTAACAGCAAGAAAAAATAACAGCATCAGGTTCTGAGTATTTATTTTAGGTGTTGGTTGTCTTGAAGGGAAAACTGCAGAAAATATAGACATTGCTGTCAACCCCAAGAAATTCACAGCCTCATATGAAAGTACTCAGACCTGCTGCCCACTGAGGAGTGGACTCTTCTCACCAGTGGGGCAGGTGTGTAACACAGGGGGCAGGCGCAGCCAGTGGATGCTACTATGTGGCATCTGGGAAACAGGAAGAGCTGAGCCCTGCTTCACAAGTCTACGCCTGATATGTGGAGGAGAGAGGAAATTGGTCAGCAGTGGATAAAGGCAGCCTGTCTGTGCTCCCATATGCCAGGTCTGCTTGACCTTGATTGTAGCTCCCTCCCCTTCTCCTCATCCCTAGTGTTCATCCTCTCTTATTTTCCTAGTTACCTTTCTCCATTCCCAATTACCCTATAAGCTTCTCCACTCTGATGTTCTTAGCACTCCTGGCCTGGGGATCTTTTTTTGGGGTCTTTTTGAGACAGGGTCTCCCTGTAGCCCCAGCTGTCCTGGAACTCACAGAGATCTTCCTGCCTCTGCCTCCCAAGTGTTGGGATTAAAGGCATTGTAGCTCCCTCCCCTTCTCCTCATCCCTAGTGTTCATCCTCTCTTATTTTCCTAGTTACCTTTCTCCATTCCCAATTACCCTATAAGCTTCTCCACTCTGATGTTCTTAGCACTCCTGGCCTGGGGATCTTTTTTTGGGGTCTTTTTGAGACAGGGTCTCCCTGTAGCCCCAGCTGTCCTGGAACACTCACAGAGCTTCCTGCCTCTGCCTCCCAAGTGCTGGGATTAAAGGCGTGAGCCACCACGCCCGGCCACACCCCACTTCTTAAAAATTTTTTTTCACATTTTTTATTTACTTATTTGTGTGTGTTAGGGGGGCATATGCCATGGTATGTATGCAGAGGTCAGAGGACAATTTGCAGAAGTCAGTTCTCTCCTTTCACCCTGTAGGTCCCAGGGATCAAACTCAGGTATCAGTCTTGGTGGGAAGCACCTTTACCCACTGAGCAATCTCACAGGCCCCTGCCCCTCTTAATATTAACAACATGCCATCATTTTTTTTCACATTTGCTTCCACCCCAGGTGGCTTGCCCACATAAATTCTAACCCCAATAAGCCTCAGAAAGTTAAGGTTACTTCCCAAAGGTCCTACAGTTGGCACTGAAGCCCAGGCCTGTCTGACTTCTAAGTCTGGGCTCTCTCGGGGACCCAATGCTTTCTCAAAAGGAGTGGTAGTTCTGGCACCTCTTAAAGAAGAGTGAGTTGTGGTGACAAAGGACTGAGTATCTGGATGGCAAGTTTCTTACCTATATATCAGAGATGCAAGGACCACAGCCATCAATACCAGAAAAACACCCACAAGCAGGGGAGCTTGCCCAAGGCCACCTTCTTGACCTGTGAACAGAATCCCAGGTACTACTTCAGTGTCTGTTCCCTCCTAGTGGGCCTCTGTCCACTCCTTTTCATCCTAGTTCTTGCCTAAGTACCTACCAGGCACGACAAGTTGGGTGCTGGCCACTGCCAGGCTGTTGGCATCAGCCAAAGACACATTGAGGCAGTAGGTCCCTGAGCCACCTGTCAGTACCTGATGTAGAACCAGCTGACAATCTGGGCTTGGTGGCACAGGCTGGCACAACCTCTGGGCAGGGGGCTGGCACCCTGGTGATGAAATGTCCATACAGGCTTCCTTGGGCAGCCTGAAAGAAGTATGAACTTGCATCAGGATCCAGAGAGGGAGACAGCTCCAGAAAGCAGAGTGACAGTCACCTCAAGTTAAGAGAGCAGGACACTCACCCTCCTTGGCAGGACACAGTCAGCTCAAATGCATCCCCCTTACTAGATGGCATAGCCTGCAGGATCTCAGCATTCTCAATACCCTCTGCAGAGTTGCAAATTTTGAAGTTAGGAATCCTCTACCAGGCCCACACACAGGAAAGCCCTGGGGCATCTCTGCCAATTCCATCTCTGTCTTCAAAGGGGGACCCTGCCATTCAAGTAATTCCACCCTCCTCTCCCTCCAAGATATGCTCCTACTAGCCAGCCTTGGCAGCTTATGCCTCCCTTCTTCAGTTCTCAAAATAGGCAAGACTCACGGACAATGTCCAGGGTTAGGGAAAAAGAGCCATATCGATACAGAACACAATCCAGAGGGACTTGTCTCTTCACAAGCACTAAGGTGTCTGTGCCATCCAGCAGGGGGGTCATGGACCCTGGCAGGAAAATATTAAGGAGGCAAGGTTAAGAGATAACCCTCTTAGAGGCAGAGACCAATCGGGCATTGTTCCAAGTAAAGCCAGAGCTACAGGATCCTGGCCTCCAATCAGCCAAGGTCTTATTTTATAGATAAGGAAGCTATGCCCAGAAGAAAAGTTGCTGTTTTAGAATTACATATATAGGGAAAGAGAACTTATTTTAAAAATTTCCAGATGTGGGGCTGCAGAGATGGCTCAGTGGTTAAGAACACTGAATGTTCTTGCAGAAGACCCAGGTTCGAATCCCAGCACCCACATGGCAGCTAACAACTGTCCATAACTCCAGTTCCAGGGAATCCAACACCCTCTTCTGACCTCCATGAGCATTGCACGACACGAGTACACTTACACACAGGCAGGCAATACACACATACACATAAAATTAAAAAAATAATAAAATATAGTTTTCTTAAAAAATTTCCAGATGTTAGGCATGGTGATGCATGCCTTTAATCCCAACACTTGGGAAACAGAGGCAGGTGGATCTTTGTGAGTTCAAGGCCAGCTGGGGTTACAAGGATACCCTGTCTCAAAAAAAAAAAACCCACAAAAATTCCAAATATTTATCATGCCCCACATTGGACTAGGACCTGAACTAGATGGTTGACCTATGTCAACCCATTTTGGCATCATGATCTCATTCCTCCTGTTTTGCTTTGGGATAAGAATCCAGGACTTGAAATGGAACTGAAATCATGATATAAATATGTAAACAATCACAAGCTGTTCCCTGGGCTTCCTAGCTGTTCCTCATGGGTAAAGAAGCAATAGTTCTATCCTTATGGCCTCATGTCTTCTTTTACAAGTTATAAAGATGGGGGGGAGAGGAGATGGGGACAGGGAAGAGGACTAGGCTTTAGATCCAGTGAGAGTTCTGAGGTGAATGAGTCCTGGGTAAGACTTTCAGAGGTGAGAACTGACAAATACCCCACCTCAATGAACCTCATTCACACAGTTCCTCTTACCTGTAGAATTTTCTGTAGGCACTAATGGGCTGGCATCCAGATCCTTGGGCTCAGGGGTGGGCAACTCTTCAGCAGTAGTTTCCACCAAGTCTGTGGTTGCTGCTTGTGCAACTGTGGGTCCAGATGGCCTGGTGGGTGTTGTAACTGTTCCCTCTATAGTTGACAGCTCTGTAAGTATGGTATCTATGACCTCTGAGGTCAGCATCTGCTCAGATGTAATACCTGTGCCCTCTGTGTTTGGCACTTGCACAGATGCAGTATTTGTGACCTCTGTGGTTAGCATCTGCACAACTGTGGTTCCAGAGGGCTCTGTAGTTGGCACCTGGCCAGGTGTAGTACCCACAGCTTCTGCAGTGGTCCCTTGCCCCAAAGTGGTGCCAGGGGCCTCTGCAGTTGGCATGTACCCATTTGTGGTGCCTGGAACGGGAGAGGATGGAGAGGAAGTTAGAGGAATGGCAGCCTGCAGCACCACCTGGGCAGTGACTGGGCCTGACTCCAGGTAAGTGTGAGTGACCACAGCTGCCCGAGAGATCAGGGTTCCAGTATTGTCTCCAAAGTCCCAGGTGTAGGAGAGGTCAGCTTCAGCCAAATACCCACTGGGGTCGTGAAGCTGAAGGGCAAAGATCAGAGGTTGATTTCTCAGGAAGTGTTTGTTCTCTCCATCCAAGGCCTGTAGCTGGGACACACTCACAGAGAAGGGCACCTGATCTGGGGTTGGAGCCAGAAAAAGTGAGAACAAGGGTTACAGCTTCTTTCACAGCCACATCCTCCAACCACATGCTGACTAGCTGGCTCTTTGTCTCCAAGCCCCACATTTCTCTGTCCAGGTCTTTCTGGCCCTGCCTTGTGAAGGTTGGACACCATTTCCCCTTCTTGTCTAAGCTAGCCTCCTCACTTTCTCCTGCCCTATGCCTAGGCTTGTTCTTTTCCAAACCCTTACCAATGATAGTGAAGGCTGAGTTGGAGTAAGCAAGGGGCACATAGCTCTGGGACCCACGGTGGTGGTAGACAGTAACTTCCATGATGTGTGTGCCCAGCACTGCATGGTCAGTTGCAATGCTCAGCCTGGACACTGGGCCCCCCAGAACTTGCCAGTATTGTCCTGAGTGTTTTGGAAAGAAAAGCAGGGAACAAGAGGCAACTGGTCAAAGAGAACTGAGAGGAAGAATTTGAAAAAAGGGCACCAGAGAAGGGACATTAGGAGGTATATTGAGGATGATTACTCTAGAAGGTGTTTGGAGGAAGCGGGCAGGTCCCACAGGTAGGGCTATAATTGGTGAGGGGTTGCTAGGAAACCTCACCCCAGGTCTTCCAAACATAAACAAAGCTGCTTCTCTGAGACTGAGGGCCAGATGGGCAGGGTCCACCATCAGGGAAGACGCAGGCTTCATGAGGTTCCTGGGGATACACTGGCTGTCCTCCCCACACTTGGCTCCCTGAAAGGTAGATACAGTCACCCTCAAGCTCTGGCATTCTTTTGTATCAGCTGCAACCCCTAAAATAGCTCCTAGTGGATGGGGCTATGGGAGTACTCCCTAGCTAGAAAACAACCTCCATACTATGACCCATTTGGGATGAATATTCATGGAACAAAATGTTTACAGTGACTTCCTTTAATGAGATTAAGAACAATAGCATCAACTAGCATTTATTAAACCTGTACTGTAGGTTGGAGCAGCTGTCTGCTGAGTACTTTATATAGATGATCACATTTTCATCCTCATTACAATGTCAAGGAAGGTACCAGCTCCATTTTATAGACAGGAAAATGGAAGCATGAAAATTACTAGCTCAAGGTCACATCTAGTGACAAATTTACATCTAAGTCTGTCCAACTTCAGGATTTTGCTGTCCTTTGATTTGGAAACTATAATTCTCTTTTTGCTTTATCTTTGTTTTCTAACTTTACTATAATGAGTATATACTATCATATATATATATATATTTTAAATAGAAGAGAGGGGCTGGAGAATTGACTCAGCAGTTAATAACACTTGCTGCTCTTCCAGAGGACCCGGGTTCAAATCCTAGCACCCACATGGTGGCTAATAATCATCCATAACTCCAATTCCACAGGATCTAACACCCTTTTCTGGTCTCTGTGGGCATTACATGACAAGGGTGCACTTACATGCAGGCAAAACACTGATACACATAAAATAAAAATAAAAATTCTTAAAAATAGGAGAGTATGAGGATACAGATCAGCAGTACAGCACTTGCCAAGCATGTGTGGGGCTCTGGCTTTGAACCCTAGCACCACAAAAATATTTAAAAATGGAAGAGGATATTCCCTGGGCTCATTGGGGATACCAGGGAATCCTAGGAATGTGAACCCTGGGAGTAATGTGAGAAGTTAGAGAGGTACTTACCATTGATGATGGTGTTGTTGGCCCAGATAACTTGCCCATCTGGCAGTACCTTTTGACTTTCAGGGAAGTGCAGGGTAGTAGAAAAGGAGATGTTTGCACCAGTCAGTGTGGGCCCATCATTACTGACCTTCAGAGACACCTGGCCACCTTGGACGGGAGGTTGCATTAGCTGCCTTGGCTTCCTACATTTAGCTCAGTTCTTACACTCCTCCCTGTCCTCTTTCCACCAGGCCTTCCCCAAGAATTTTCAAGTTCCTACCTCTCCAGCAGTCAGGGCCCTGGGCTTCTGTCCAATCAGGATACAGCTGCCTGTTCCAGGCTGTAGTTTCAAGCTGCCTCGGAACACCAAACAAGTCTTGGTCTCTGGATCCTAAAAGGAATGTGCCATGAGAGGCCCAGAATCATTCCATCTTTCCCAAGAACAGTGCTACATCCCATGTCATCTCACTCTCTTTCAGTGCACTTTACAGGCAGGTCGTGGTGGTGTACACTTTTAATTCCAGTGCTTGGGAGGCAGAAGCAGTGGACTTCTGGGAGTTTGAGGTCTGGTCTATGTAGCATAGTGATTTCCAGGCCAGCCGGGCTACACAGTGAGACCCTGTCTCAAAAAAAAAAAAAAAAACTAACTAAAAAACAACAACAAAAAAACCCCAAAACAAAACAAAGTGCAGTTTACTAATTTTGGTGGGAAGGGGGCAGCAGTGAGATTGAACACAGGGCCTAATGCATACTAGTTAAGTACCTCACTACTGAGCTTAATCTCTAGCCCTCTTTTTACATTTTTAAAAAGTTTGTATTTCAAAATGTCATTACTTTTATTTATTTGTGTAAGTATATACACTCATACATGCACCATGCCACAACACACATGTGAAAGGTTCCAGGGATGATTGAACTCAGTTTGTCAAGGTTGGTGGCAACTCCCTTACCCAATGAGCTACCTTGCCAGTCATTATATATACTTTTTTTTTTTTTTAAGATAGGGTCTTACTATGTAGCCCTGACTGGTCTGGAACTTGCTATACAGACCATTCTGGCCTTGAAATCACAAAGATCTACTTGCTAAATGCTGGGATTAAAGGCATGTACCACCATGCCTTTTTTTGTTGTTGTTGTTTGTTTTTTGTTTTACTTTTTGTGTAGGGTCTTACTAGGTTGACAAGGCTGGCCTTGAACTTGCTCTGTAGCCTAGGCAGACCTTGAACTTCAATCTTCCTGCCTCAGCCTTCCAGGTATTAGAATTAGGATTCAAGGTCTGTACCACCAAGCCTGACTTGACTTTATATTTTGATAAAGGGTCACTAAGTTACCTAGACTGATCTTCAACTTTCAATCCTCTTGCTGCAGTCTCCTAAGTAGAATTAATAGGCACAAACTGCATTTAAATTAAAAAAATAATTGCAGTGCTGAGGACTGAACCCAGGGTTGGTCACATGCATGCTAGCGAAGCACTCACTGTTGGTTTATATGTATGTATGTATTATGTATGTATAAATATATGTATGTATCTGTGTGCACATGAGTGTGTGAAGAAGTCAGAGGACAACTTGCAGGAGTCAATTCTCTCCAAACTCAGGTTGTCAGGCTTGACGGTAAGCACCATCTCATTGGCCCAGCCTTTTTTTTTGAGACAGGATGTCACCATGTAGTCCCAGCTGGCCTAGAACTCACTAAGTAGACTTGGGGGAGGGCCAGGGCTGGAACATACAGTGATCCATCTGTCTCTGCTTCCCCAATGCTGGGATTAAAGGCTGTTCGCCACCACTCCCAGCTAGTTTATTTATTTTGAGAGAGGTTTTCACTACTCAGCCTAGGTTGTTGTCAAACTTGTAATTCTCATACCTCAGTCTCCCAAGGAATAAGAAAAGGAGACAGTGAAGGTTTGAATCAGAGACGGGCAGAAATGCACATACATATAGACATTATCCACACCTCAAGCTATCACAAGACCACTCTGGCAGCCGGATGTGGTGGCTCACACATGTAATCTCAGCACTCAGGAAGCTGAAGCAGGAGGATCATTATGAGGTTGAGGTCAGCCAGCCTGGTCTACACAGTGAGAGCTTGTCTCAAAAAAAAAAGAGAGAGAGAGAAAGAGAGAGAGAGAAAGAAAGACCACTGTGGTGAGAAGGAGGGAGGATGGAGTAGAAGCTGGTAGATTTTGGAGGCTGGGACAAAGCAGGCATAATGATTATGATTACACTGGATATGCTGGCTCATGCCTGCAATCTCACCACTTGAAGGCAGAGGCAGGAAGATCCCTGCAAGTTGGAAGCCAGCCCAGTCTACACAGCAAGTATCAGGCCAGTTAGTTACACAGGGAGACCCTGTCTCAAAAAATAATAAAATTACACTACACACGCACACACACACACACACACACACACACACACACACACGCAAATACATGTAACTGACCAAGAGGAAAAAGGAATATAATGGGTTTCCATGTGGTTTCACTCAAATCCAAGCAAGTATCAACATTTGACACATTGCTTTATCCTTGTTGGCTGTTGTGCTAGTCTAAAATATTTATTTAAAGGACTGTCTTGGGTCCAGTGGGTAAAGGTGCTTGCTGCCAAGCCTGAGACTTGAGCTTGATCCCCATGAATCACATTGTAGAAGGAGCAAACCAACTCCCACAAGTTGTCCTCTGACCTACACATACAATGCAAAAAAAGAGAAAATCTCAGTGTGTTTCTATGCTGTTATTTTAATCCCTCAAATTCAATAAAACCTGGTAAAAATGCATTTTATTGTATAGCCATGTTATTTATTTATTTATTAGAATGTGGGTCTTAGTATGTAGCTCAGGCTGGCCTCAGAGTCTTAATCCTCTTCCTTGGCCTCTCAACTGCTGGGGTTACAGGTGTGCACCACCATGCCTAGGAAGTTAACTTCTTTTTATTTACTTGAGACAGGATCTCAGTAAGTTTCCAAGGCTGGCTTCAAACTGTAGATCCTCCTACCTCAGCCTCCAGAGTAGTTAGGATTACAGGTGAGTGCCATCATGCCTGGCTTACACTAGACAAAATTATACAGTAACCCCCTCCAAGCCCTGAAAAGTGCCTTATTTTTATTTTAAAGTCAGTATCCATAATGTAAGCATAGTACCTTAGAGCCTCAGATGTGTGGATGAGATTAGAACATTTCCAGAATACATTAAGGAATATAGTAAAAAGCAAAACCTGGTAACATATCTGTGATCCTAGCATGCAGGATGTGGAGGCAGCAGGAGGATCAGAAGTTCAAGGTCATTGTCAGCTACTACTACATAGTGAATTCAAGGTTAGTGTGGAATACATGAAAGCTCCATCTTAGAAAAGAAATGAAAAGAGAGATAGAAAGAAAGGAAAAAAGAAGGAAAGAAGGAACGAAAGAAACTACAGCATAAATGAAGAAAGCCAGATCAAAGACCTTCCTAGAAGTTTGAGACCAGGGATCTAGAGACAGTGGGACTATGATATGATGTACATATGTCAGCACTGCAGACACTATCCTTGTCCCATTTAAAAAAAATTTTTTTTTTGGTCTTTTTTTGAGACAGGGTCTCCTTGTAGTCCCAGCTGTCCTGGAACTCACTATGTAGAGCAGGCTGGCCTGGAACTCACAGAGATCCACCTGCCTCTGCCTCCCAAGTGCTGGGATTAAAGGCATGCGCCACCACGCCCGGTGTATTGCCTGCATGTGTGTGAGTCTATAATTCGGTGGAGGTCAGAAGAAGGCTTTGGATTCCCTTGGAACTGGAGTTAAGGACGGTTCGTAGCCACCCTGTGGGTGCTGGGAATTCATCCCAGGTCCTCTGCAAGAGCAGTCAGTGCTCTTAACTGCTGAGCCATCTCTCCAACCCTCCTTGTCCCATTTTTAATGTCCATGGAGAAGTCAAAGATTCTGCTGGGGGTTGATCTGTAATCATTCAGTGAGAAATTCACCACTGGAGCAGGTGAAGTCATAAGATGTGACATCCTTTGTTCATTTCCCACCCTCCCTCCAGCAGCACGGGACATTCCAGACCCTCTCACCATCCCAAATCCCTCCCCTTGCTCCCTTGCTCCTGTCACGAGGCCTCAATCCCCCAGAGTCCTTTCATGTGATGCTCAGCTGAGACCCTCTGCCTGTCTCTCCAAGCCCCAGAATATAGGCCTGGGCTGTATTTACCCATCCCCATCCCAAGTGGGGGAGGTGATGTCCCCTTGGTCTTATCAAATACCAAATTATTTTTCCTTAGACCCATTTTAGACCAAGTATTTGAGATATTATTTAAAAGGATTCATTTCACTCCCTAGTAGCCCCTGCTCCAGCTCTCTGTCAGAATTAGGGCTATACTTTCTGCCCCTCAAATCAGATAGAATTACTTTCATGCTCAGTCCTGAATCTCTTGCATTAAACCAGGTATGATGGTTTATACTTGTAATTCCAGTATTTAGGAGTCAGAAGCAGGATGACCAGGAGTTCAGGGCCATTCTTGGCTAAGGAGTTCGGAGTGACTTGGGCTACATATGACCCTGCTTCAAACAAATAAAAACAAACAAAACCATATCTTCACTAAATTAAATAGGTGGGACAAGCCTGAAATATCCTATTAAAAGGGGACAAAGCAGAGAGGTGCTCAACTTCTAATTGCATCTGCTCCTGTCCATACATATACACTCACCTTCCACGGTCCCCACAACCAGCAGAGCACTCAGAACAGACAAATGGAGAAAGCACCTTCTCTGCACCACCTCCATCCTGTTCTTCCTTTCAGCATCCAGCGATACTGGGGGTGGGGGCGGTTGGAATGAGCCCCTATATAGAAAGCGATGCTCATTTGCATAGCCCTTCCTTCACTCCCCAAGACCACGCCTGGCACCAGAACTGATTTTGGTCCCTGGACATTCCTTTCCCATCCCCACTAGTCAATGGGTTTCTGGTTTCACTGGCTCACACTCAACTTGACACACTCTGAAGGAGTTGACTGACAGGCGGTAACAGAACACCTACTTCACATAATTGAGTCAAACCAAGAACCTCTCAAAAAGACAGAAACAAGGCACCTTCATCAAAAGCAGTCAGGGCTGGGAGTATGGCTCAGTGGTAGACCCCTTGCCTAGCATCCACAGGGCCCTAGGTTCAATCCCTAGCATTGAAAAAGACAAAATGACCAACCAAACAAAACCCCCCACTAAAACCAGTGCAAAACAGAATCCAGGTAAACTGAGAGGTGACTCAGTTCTCTGGCCTACTAATCCTTTACTGATTAAGATTTTGCTCCAGGCACAGTGGCCTGTGCGTGCTTTTAATCCCAGCTCTGGATCCCAGCGACAGGTAGGCCGTTCCCTGTGAGTTTGAGGCCAGCCTGGTTTGCATAACATTTCCAGGCTAGCCAGGGCTACCTAGTGAGACCCTGTGTCAAAAGAACCCACAAAAACCCCATCGCAAACCCAGGTGTAGGGGGTGGCTGGAGAGTTGGCTGTGCTCGTTAAGAGCTGCTCTTGTAGAGGTCTGGGGAGTTCGAGTTCCAGCACATCGGGGCAGCTCACACTGCCTGTAACTCCAGCTTTAGGGCGCGATCTGATGCCTCAGGGCTCCGCAGGCGCCTGCACTCACCCACAGACCCACACATACAACACTCAATTAAAAATAAATCATTAAAAAAAGAAAAGATTTCCGGATTTCTGCTTTTTGAAGGAGACTCCCTAGGCCAGGAGAAATGTAACTTCGTCCGTGGGGTGGTGAAAACAGCGCGGGGAGACCAGGGGGCCCCTAAAGACTAGAGACGACCCTGGCAGGCCGGCAGAGTAAACCAGGAACTGGGGAAAAGGTGGACAGCAGTGCAGTGCTGCCAGCCCGCCCCACCGGGCGGGGTCACGGCGGAGGGAAGCACGGGGCTGGCTCCACCCTCTCTGACGCTGGCCAATCCGAAGGGTGGGGGGCGGAGTCAGGGAAACGCGGGAAGGCGGGGCGGGGCCTCGGCAGGCTGCTGGCGCTCGGGGGGAGGCGGCAACATTGTTTCAAGTTGGACAGATTGTCAAGGGCTGTACTTACCTAGCGTTCCATCCCGAGCCCGGGCCTCAGTGTCGACCTCCGCTCCCGGTCCTCGGCCCCCGAGCCTCGGGCCCGCTTTCTTCTGGGTTCCCAGGCCCGGTCCAGGGCCGGGCTGACCCGACTCTAGCGCTTCATGGAGAACTTCCAAAAGGTAGAAAAGATCGGAGAGGGCACGTACGGAGTTGTGTACAAGGCCAAAAACAAGTTGACCGGAGAAGTAGTGGCGCTAAAGAAAATCCGGCTAGACACGTGAGTGGTCTTTGGAGCCCGAACTTCCCGGTCGGGACCTCTAGGCTGTTCCCCCCACCCCCAACAGGCGGGTAGCCGTGCAGGGACCGGAAGGTAGCTGGGAGGGACTTGTTTTAAGTGAGGGGTGGGTGGACGGACGGTGGACGCTCTCCGGGGAGACTGGAGGGTGGGGTAGAATTCCTGGAAAACTTTCGGCTCAGCCCGGCGTCCTCCCAAATCTGCAGGCGGGGAGACTTAAGAGAAAGTGGGGGTCCCTGTGTGGAGTCCAGGACTCCTCCTAGAGTTGGGTTAAGTCTGAATGAAGAGCCCTCCTCACTACCCCAACCCCACGCTTAGAACCTTCGCCCTCTTTCAGAATGGCAGTTGAGCCTCACTGGCCCTCTGGGAAGGCTGGAAGCTACTTTCACATTTCCCCTCCATTACCTTTATTCTGCTTCAAATTGACCAGGAGGCTCTACTTACCTTCCCTGGAAAAAGGGGAGATCATGACCCTAATGTGTCCAGAAGCCACACCCTGACTGCCCAGAAGCTAACTCCTGACAGCACCCTTCCTCTTTGACTTTCCAAGGGGAATTGGGGGTGGTATCCCCTTGAGAGAGGAATGTTCATAACCATATTTCGGTCTCTGCTTTCCCAACCTCTCCAAGTGAGACTGAAGGTGTACCCAGTACTGCCATCCGAGAGATCTCTCTGCTTAAGGAGCTTAATCACCCAAACATTGTCAAGTAAGTCTGGTCAGGGATGTGATCTTGCAGGAAAGGGGAATGAATTATCTGCCTACCCCAGGACTTCTCTCCTTCACCTCCATTTTCTGAACCTTCTTTTGCAGGCTGCTGGATGTCATCCACACAGAAAATAAGCTGTACCTGGTTTTTGAATTTCTGCACCAGGATCTCAAGAAATTTATGGATGCTTCTGCTCTCACAGGCATCCCTCTTCCCCTCATCAAGGTAATCCTCATCAATTCCAGTTCACATATTTTGGGGAGACCAGAAGCTGGGAATTTGGAGTGGTGATACTTCACTGTGGCTGCCTTTCCAGCTTTCCTCACTCCCTTTCCTCCTTTTGCGTCTCTTTCCCTGCTCATTATAATCACTGACACTAGGATTGGGCAGAAAAATCAAAATTGAACCCCTGTGAGCCAACCTAGGCAGCTCAGGAAGGAGATCAGATGAAACTAGCATAAATGGACTTTGAGGGATAGTCGGTAGATTCCTCCAAAAAGCCCTCCCACCTGTGTAGGAGAAATAACCAGTCTTTGTGTCTGTGTTAGGGCTGGGTTCTTCACTCTTTAAACAAATTATTTATTTTTATTTTATATGTGTGAGTGCTTTGCCTGCATGTATGTAAGTGCACCGTGTTGTGTACTACTCTTGGAGGCCAGAGGAAGGCATCAGATGTCCTGGAACTAGAGTTAAGGGGACCTGTTAGCTACTGTAGGTGCTGGAAATCGAACCCAGGTCCTCTGCAAGAGCAGCCAGTGTTCTTAACCGCTGACTCTTCACTTCAGCCCCTGGGTTCTTCACTCCTAAGTTACTGTCAATGTATCATTAAAAGCATCTATTTATAGAACACCTTCGATATGCAAGTCACAGGGTGTGGAAAGGGATGCAAAATTAACTAAGATATGGTCCTTATTCTCACTGGACTGCTAAATGTATAGTTATGTGGCTGGAGAGATGGCTCTGTGGTTAAGAACACTGGCTGCTCTTGCAGAAGACCCAGGTTTGGTTCCCAGCACTCATATGGTGGCTAACAACTGTCTGTAACTTCAGTTCCAGGGGATCCAACACCCTCTTCTGACCTCTGAGGACATCACGTGACTGACACGGGTGCACTTACATACAGGCAGGCAATACACTCACACTTAAAATAAAGATAGTATTTTAAGCTGGGCATGGTGGCGCACGCCTTTAATTCCAGCACTCGGGAGGCAGAGGTAGGCAGATCTCTGCGAGTTCAAGGCCATCCTGGTCTACATAGTGAGTTCCAGGACAGCTGGGGCTACAAAGAGACCCTGTCTCAAAAAGACCAAAAACAAAAAAATTTTTTTTTAAATGTTTAGCTATTCTGTACTTGGGCATGGCAGCTCAGGTTTATAATCCCAGTACCCAGAGGCTGAGGCAAGGGGATCTCTGTAAGTTTAAGGACAACCTTGGCTACACTATGAGTTCCAGGCCAGTGAGACCCTATCTTAAAAAATAAGCAGGGTTAGTGAGACAGCTCAGCCAGTAAAAGTACCTGCACCCATGCCTGATGACCTGATGACCTGAGCTCAATCCCTGGTCCCACATGGTAGGAGAGAAATGACTCCTGCAAATTGTCCTCTGACCTCCACACATGTGCCATACATAGCATGTCCACCTATCCCCCACCCCCTCACACAATGAAGAAAAATGTAATTTTTAAAATTTATTGGGGCTGGAGAGGTGGCTCATCAGTTAAGAACACTGGTTGTTCTTGCAGAAGACCTGGGTTCAAATCCCAGCACCCGCATGGCAGCTAACAACTGTCTGTAACTCCAGTCCCAGGGGATCCAACAGCCTCTTCTGACCTCCGCAGGCATTGCATGACATGGGTGCACTTAACCTACATGCGGGCAAAACATGCATACACATAACATAATAAATAAAAATTAAAAAAAATTTATAAACCAAACCCCCAAAATATGTAGTTATGATGTAGCATAGTTAAGGCTTTACTGTGTTTGGGGGACAAAGAACACATCCTATCTGTTCATCATGATGAAGAAACAAGCTCCCTCTCTCCTTTGTCAGAGTTATCTGTTCCAGCTGCTCCAGGGCTTAGCATTCTGCCATTCTCACCGTGTCCTGCACCGAGACCTTAAGCCCCAGAATCTGCTTATCAATGCAGAGGGGTCTATCAAGCTGGCAGACTTCGGACTAGCCAGAGCCTTTGGAGTACCTGTTCGTACTTATACCCATGAGGTAAGTCCCTCTATGGTTTTCTTCCCTGAGTGTACTGGGAGATGTTCATAAGGGCATTCACAAAGTTACCAAAATATCTGGCCAAGAGTTCTTTGGGAAATGGAATCTTTGACAATCTAAATTTTTTTTTTTTAATTTTTAAAAATATTTTACTATTTTTAATTTTATGTGTATGTGTGTATTGCCTGCATGTAGGTAAGTGCACCCATATGTGCAATGCCCGAGGAAGGAGAGAAGAGGCTGTCGGATCCCTGGAACTGGAGTTACAGTTGTTATCTGCCTTGTGGGTGCTGGGATTTGAACCTGGGTCTTCTGCAAGAACAGTCAGTGTTCTTAACTGCTGAGCCATCTCTCCAGCCCCCGACAACCTAAAAGTTTTAAGATATACACAGAATAATTAATACTGTAAGGTTATGTGGGCTTAGATACTAAGCTGGGAAAGCTGGATGGTATACCATTTTGTTTCACATTTTCCAGGAAGGGCCCAAATTCTGGGTTCTCAAAATAGGACCCCCTAGAGCCATGGAGTAAGCCAAGTCTGGCCTAGGAAGTTGTGTGTCATCATTTCTTTTAGAGGAAATCAGGGAAGAAGAGGAACTATTTAAGAGGCTAGAATGGGGCTTGAGAGATAGCTCAGTAAAGAGCGTGTAATGTCTAATGCTCTCACACCCACATCTGACAGCTCATAACTGTCTGTAACTCCAGTTCAAGAGGATCCAATACTATCTTCTGACACTACACTCACATGTACAAACCACATACAGACATGGACATATACACATAATTCAAAATAAAATTGCCAGGTGTGATGGCACACGCCTTTAATCCCAGTACTTGGGAGGCAGAGGCAGGCGGATGGATCTCTGTGAGTTCAAGGCCAGCCTGGTCTACATAGTGAGTTCCAGGACAGTTGGGGCTACAGAAAGACCCTGTTTCAAAAAACACCAAAAATAAATAAATAAAATAAAATAATTTTAAAAAGAGGCTGGAGGGTAGCAGGGTTTTGTTGAACTGAGGTGTGTGAATCTCCATGCCATGGGAGCCCTGTTCTACTCTTGTCCCCCCCAGGTGGTGACCCTGTGGTACCGAGCACCTGAAATCCTTCTGGGCTGCAAGTACTATTCCACAGCCGTGGATATCTGGAGCCTGGGCTGCATCTTTGCTGAAATGGTATGGAGCTTGCCAGGTTCTACCCAGCTCACTCATGCCCACATCCAAAAGCAAAAGAACTATCTCTTGGCCCAGAACCATGGGTCCCTTCATCACAGGGTTTTCTAGAGTATCACCTGGGCAGAGGTATTTGCCCCTGATCCCAAAACAGACTTAGTTATCTAGCATAGAGCTCTAATCCCTGAAATGAGCTAAATCAGTTCTGTAGCCATTCAGCTGCTTTGTTTTTACTTTTTTTTTTTTTGGTCTTTTTGAGACAGGATCTCCCTGTAGCTCCAGCTGTCCTGGAACCTGGAACTCCCTATTTAGACCCAGCTGCCCTTGAACTCACAGGGATTCCCCTGCCTCTGCCTCCCTCCCTAGTGCTGGGATTAAAGGCGTGTGCCACCACGCCCGCCCGGCTAGAGTTCTAATTTTACAAAGCTCTTGAGAGGACCAACCCCAGCAGTGGGACAACACTGCCATCTCCAGGTCTACATTAGCAGAAGGACGTAATTGCTACATTTCCACTCTGGGAAAAGCTCTTCCTTTATTTTGTGTGTTTAAGTGTATTGCCTGCATGTATGTGAGTGCACCTGTGTCGTGCAATGCCACAGTCAGGGCTTCGGATTCCCCTGGAACTGGAGTTAAGGATGGTTTGTAGCCACCATGTAGGTGCTGGGAATCGAACCTGGATCCTCTGCAAGAGCAGTCAGTGCTCCTAACCACTGAGCCATCTCTCCAGCCCTCCACTTAGCTATTTTAACTTTAATCTGCATATACTGGGAAGATGAATTCTATTTATTCCAGCAGGTGGCCCTCAGGCCACATGCATTCAAGGTTAGTTATGAATGTGGCCCAAAACAAAATTGTAAACTTATTTAAAACATTATGAGGGTTTTTTTTTTTGGCAATCTTTTGGGGGGTTAACTTGATTTCATGATTCTTGAACATGCACTTTGTGGGTGATAACATTCTCACAATGTCAAAAGGTTGGTCAGGCCCAGTTGTTTCTCCTTCACTTGACCTGTAGCGCTTGCTGGAGGGAACAGAAATGTAGTAGGATCAACCATGTTTACATTATCCATACCTATCATTTTTGTAAACTTGGTCATGCCCCACCTCAACCCCTGGCTTTTCAGATGGAAAGATTCTTAAAGTCTGGCTTCATATGGGAGCCCCTATCCCCCTTAATATAACAGTGGGTAGACAGATGATAAATTTTTTTATGGTGCTTTATCTGGGTTTTAACTGGGGGCTTGGAGACCATTAGCCTACATATCGATATACATATAGAATGTGCATTTATCCACTAGTACCTTATAATTGCCCATATTCCTCTCTCAATTCATCAAAAAATATTTGTTAAGCACCTAGTGTGTACCCAGCACCATGCTAAGTGCTGTGGGGAACACAGAAGAAATGGAAGACACAGTCTCTGCCCGCTGTGCTCCTATCTAGAAGTGGCTGCATCACAAGGAGGGGGGATGACCGCAGTGTCTACCCCATACCCCGTGAGTGGCTTGGGATCCCTTTGCAACATGTCAGTGGCACCCCAGATATTCGCCCCCTCCCAGCCCCACCCAGCCTTGGGGATCTACAAAACCATGGTTGGGGGAAGGAAGGAGGGGGCAAGGAGACAGATGAAGGGACTTCATTGTCTCAAGTTCTGTGTGACCAACCCCATGAAAAACCCTGGGGAGGGAGTCATGGGGCCCTGCTGACCTTCCATGGCCTGTGGGAACCTTTATTCAAGGGGCAGTGTTGACTGACGTCAATGTGGGTCTTGGCCTTTCCTCTTTCCTCATTTTCAGGTGACCCGCCGGGCCTTATTCCCTGGAGATTCTGAGATTGACCAACTCTTCCGGATCTTTCGGACTCTGGGAACCCCAGATGAGGTGGTTTGGCCAGGAGTTACTTCTATGCCTGACTATAAACCGAGTTTCCCCAAGTGGGCCCGGCAAGATTTTAGCAAAGTTGTGCCTCCCCTGGATGAAGATGGCCGGAGCTTGTTATCGGTAAGAATAGGGAACAGATACCCTCTCATTCACCCAGAGAAGGGCCTTTTCAGGATGAAAAAGGCTGAGACCCTGAGCTCTGCTTGTCAGTATTTCCCTAGTTTTTTTTTTTTTTTCAAATATTTTATTATTTTTATTTTATGTGTATGTGTATTGCCCTCATGTAGGTAGGTGTACCTGTGTCGTGCAATGCCAGTGGAGGTCAGAAGAGGGTGTCGGATCTCCTGGAACTGGAGTTACAGACAGTTGTTAGCTACCATGTGGGTACTGGGAATCGAACTTGGGTCCTCTGCAAGAGCAGTCAGTGCTTTCAACTGCTGAGCCATCTCTCCAGCCCCAGCATTTCCCTAGTTTTTGATTCTCTCCCCATCAGCAGGCTGGTTTAGATATGGGAGGAGGGGAAGGAGAACTGGGTAAAAGAATACTGGTTTGAGCACTTGGGACACAGAGGCACGTGGATGTCTGTGAATTCCAGGCCAACCTAGTCTACATAATGAGTTCCAGGTCACCTAGGGCTGCAGGAGACCCTATTTCAAAAAGCCAGAAACAAACAAAAATCCTGGATTCCTGATTTCTGAGCGTACCTGATGTTCATTTGGTCTACTGTTACGTCACTGAAGTCAACATACATTTCTCCCTTCAGCAAATGCTACATTATGACCCCAACAAGCGGATTTCAGCAAAAGCAGCTTTGGCTCACCCTTTCTTCCAGGATGTGACCAAGCCAGTACCCCACCTTCGACTTTAATGTCCTTCCTAAAGCCCTCACCCTCAGTCTTGCCTTCTCTAGTGTGGACTTAATCTGACTTGACTCTGGGCTACAAGGACTCGGGTCAGCCCTCTGCTCTTTTCTGGCGGCCTTAGCACTGGCTTCTTCTCTTGGCCAGCCAGCTCTGGGGATTCACAGTTCCAGGGAGAGACTAGGAGAAAATGAAAGGAAGCTTTGGTATTAGATGCACTTAACTCAGTTTCCACCACCTTCTCTCCCTCTTATTAGTCATTACTGAGGAGGGCTGGTATTCAAAACAAAACTGACTATCCCCCATCCCCCAACTCCTGCCCCCATGTCAAGTTTGCCATCCCAATCTTGGCCTGGGTCATAACAGACCCCAGACCTCCTACTGCCATCATTTTTGTAAAGGCCAACTGATAGTGGGGTCATCTAAGTTGGAACATTTCAGAACCAAGCAAAACCAAGCTATGGGGAAGGGGCCTGTTTTAATGAATTAGTTTGAAAAATAGATCCAAGCAGTTCTTACTCTAGTTTTAGTGTTTCGCCTCACCTAACAGGCTAGGAGACTCAGGTAGAGGCCTGGTGGGGGAAGCAGATGTGACTCCCCACTGCACCCTGTCTACCTCGGTAGGCAGGAGGAGTCTGGGAGGTACAGGACACAGGGATTATGCTATATTCTGATCTGTTGCTTACCATGACTTTATGAGGCAGGAGAAAGACATTTGAATTTTCTTTTGTATTTAGGAATTTTCTTTTTCCAGTGCTGGGGACTGAACCCAGGACCTTGCTTTCATGAGGTAAATGCTCTGCCACTGTGCTAAATCTCTGTATTTTAGGAATTTAGTTTTTGGGTTTCCAGAGATCCCTGTTCCTGACTTCTTCCAAGAGTTACCTCTCACCCCTAAGAGTGGAAGCGAGGGTTTAGATGTCATTTTTGAGAATACACTTTTTTAAGGCTGTGACCTGGTCAGAGCATTGGGGACATTTTTTTCTATAACAGAGTGAACAATTGTATTTATACTTCAGGTTATTGTAGGGGTTTTTTTCCCCAGTGTGGATGGATTTGTTACCATGTGCACCTTGGGGTTTTGTAATTGTTTAAAAATATTTCTTTTTATGATTTTCTTTCTCTTCCCACCTCTTGTCCTCCAGTGTTCTATTAACATTATTTGTAATTTAGTTTGTAATTCATTAAAAGAAAATGTTCTCAGTTGTATAATTAGTCTCTTTCATTGTTATTTATTTATTGAGAGAATGGTGTGGGTGAGAATCTGAACATGAATGTGTGGTGAGTGATTTCAGATACCTCTTCCTAATCTCTGGCTGTGCAGGGTATCCTCCCATGCCACTGGCCTCTATAGTTAGGATGGTTCTAAGGGTGAGCAAACTGAGTATTGTTCCCATTTTACAGCTGGGGAAACTGAAGCTTTTTCCTGCCTTCCAGCAGACTTCCCCTTCTCCCTGCTAACACATGAATAGAGAACACTGAGTTTTTCTGTTTTCTGATTGAGTGGGCTCCAGGGAGATTCAAGTCAACACTGCACTCCTGCCCCCCTTTTTTATTTATCCTTTTTTTTTTCTTTTTTTATGTGTATGTGTGTACTGCCTGCATGTAGGTAAGTGCACCTGTGTCGTGCAATGCCCACGGAGGACAGAAGAGGCTGTCAGATCCCCTGGGACTGGAGTTAGGGACAGTTGTTAGCTGCCATGTGGGTGCTGGGATTTG